TGTCAATCTTTGACCTCAAGATGCATCAGAAAAGTCCTAAACACTTCTTCCACCTCCTTCTGCTTCTACTTGACTAATCTGTTTAGTTCCAATTCACATGCACTCAGTTAAATATTCAGCAATTCATCAGAGCCAAAAGAAAAACTCTTTTCTATTGGGTTAGCAAAGTTTTCTCATCTCTCTTCACTTAACTAGGGATGTTGTTGAACACAAACACTGGATATGTACATCTTATATCTTTCAGCTCCAAATAAATTATAAAGGCATATCAGCCTGCTCTGACTTCATCCAAGATGAAAGAAATATTAACTCTTTAGTCCATGAAAATGTCTCAAACCCTGACTCTTGCCTTGAGAAAAAGCCACTGAGGAGATGTTTAGCTGGAGTAACTCATTAATCATCACTGTTTCAAACGCTCCCAAGTCCAAGCTGTGATGCTACGGTAACAAATCTCCGTGGTTTAGGTTAAGACACATTTTTTTAGATCATGAAGAGGCCAAGTGCTCACTCCCTTCCTGACGAACTCTGGAGGCAAAGGAAACTCAAGCAGAAAGTTAAATGCCATACAGTATTTATATAGTGCTATATTTCTGCAGCCTTTAGCCCCCAAGTAGTTTGGGAAGGGTTTTTTAGTTTATTTTCACTCCGTGTGTGTGTGTATTTGTGGGTTTGGTTTTTTATTTTAGTTTAGTTTAGTTACAGATTTATATTGGGTATTTTTCAAATTTTTTCACATTTAGATATCTTTTGCGGTATTGTCCATTTCTTAGCCAATAGTTTCCTTTAATTAAAAAAAATTCCCATTGCCAAATACACATAAGACTTGAATTATGCCTATACTCCTTAGAATCTGACTAAGTTTTGATCCACACTAAGTTTTGAAGTGTGGACTTGATAGTAGTTTCCTCTGTGATTTTAATTCCACAAGCAAATCTCTCTCTGTACTTCACAAGTGCTGCAATTCCATACAGCTTAGTCCATTAGAAGCAGATACTCCCAACCTGGATTGACACAGGGACAGGCCAGAGCTTGGGCTAGAAACAGAACCTTGAGGGCAAATTCATTAAAGATCCCAGGTACAAAGAGAAATAAGGCTTTAACTGAGGAGTAACCACAAGAGACTCACTAGCATCACTCTCAATCCACTGCTGAATCATATGAGGATTATTAATGATTATTTACTGAACATCATTCTTGCAAAGACAATGCTTGCTATACTTGACTCAGAACTATGTATTTTTAAAAATTCTCTTTTTTCCATGGGGGGTGGTGAGAGTCAAACCAGCTGCTAGGAAGCACCTCACCCATCAAAAATCCCGGGGATCTATTAGGTGACATTCAGACAGTAATTTTTATTAGGGTAGCTGTATATGCTTCTGGACACTGATAATATCCAGGTTAATATTCATTCTGGGTGCTAAAGGGACTTTCTGTTCTAATTCTTCCTCTTTCTGTACAGAAAGAGAAAAAAGCCAAGAGGCTTGGTGTCCTTAGCCTGGTGAACTGAGGTCTGCAGGCAGAATCAGGCGCTCCGTGCGTCACTGCCACACACCAAACCCCTTCAGGACGTTTTGGCCAAGCACTGAATTTCACTACGCAGTAGTGAGGGATCAGCTCTCAAAAATTTCTTTGCCAGCAATATCTTGATTAACAACTAGTTCTTATACAAAATATGTCAGTGATTAGTTAGGGAAGGCAAGGGACATCACGCACAAATCGGTTGAAAGAAACTAATGTTGATGGAGGATCAAATTGTCCATGCAACTTCTTCCCAAAAGCTGTTCATCATGGGTCTTAATTCCGATCCAGCTTCCTAATCCCTCCTGGATCTTTAATAACTAGTATTTACAAAATAAATATTGAGGTTGAAGGAAGATTTATGCTTGGAGCAAGGATTTATTCTCTTTGTCAAACTCTTAGGGTACACTAACAGCAAGTTTTCTATCAGCACAGCTCTGCTAAGAGCTGAAAAGATCCTTCTTATTTATTTACAGCAATAAAAGACCTCAAACTAAACCAGCAAACCTAAGCTGAAGTACAGGCCTTGAGGTTTTAAACATCACCTAATACTAGGGCAAAATGAACATTTCCAGCAAAGAGAAAGAGGAAAAATATAATTCTGTGACCTTGAAATAGGTATGATTTTTATTGGTAATTAGTCCTTTACAAATATTTTTCAATAGATAAGATTTTTTGACGAATGTATTTTTAAGTTGCAGTTTCATTACCTCATTTCTCTTGACACATTATGTGTCACCATTGGAAGTATGGCCTTATGAAACGAACAGAAATCTGGAAAACTGCCTGCTTCACCATAAAAACGGATTTTTTAAAAATATATTTTTTAATCTGGAATGTATTCTAAGAATACTATTTTTACTTTTAATGTGAATTTTTAAATGCCCACATTAGATCAGTCTGCTTGTGAAATTTTATAATGCCCACAGTCAAGACCTGATTGCTTATCGTGTTGCCTATGCAGGGCAGAGCCGTTTGTGCGTATTTATTTGTGGTGTCTGCAAAATCTTTACAAGTATTTTCCCATCTTTGCTGTTAGAAATAACCTACGTTCTTTCAAAGAAAAAGAGAATTTAGGGTAGAAAAACTGTACCTCTATAGATTTTTTTTTCCTTTTCACAATATTTTGATTAATTCCTTTGCACTCACATAGACATAATGAAAAAAACACTGGAGGTTTCAACGAGCCTAAGATTAAGGACGATTTCTAAAGCAGCTGGACTCTTGCATATCTCCTTAACTCATTATTAGCCAATATATTATGATATATTGGCTCCAATGCACACCCTGACGATCACTGGGCTGAACCCCACCACTACACACTGACAGCAACTAAAAAGTGACAGTAACTAACTGATAGCTGCTGGTTACTGACAGTAACTAAGGATCCCAGCGCTGGCAGTGCAGGGAGCGGGGATGGAGTGTGAAAGCCGGGCTTGGTCCAGGCAGGCTCTGGGGGAAGCAGCGGGAGATGCGGAGCCGCTCGCCCAAGGCCCCCGGCTCCGCGCCCGCCCCATCCCCGCTGCGGTCAGGCTTACCGGCGCAGGAGTGCAGCGGCTTAGGCCGGACCAGGAGCGACGGGCACACGGAGTACAGGGAAAGTTTCTCGAAGTAGTCGCAGGTCTCCTTGGAGAGGATCTCGTCGATCATGAAGGTCTTGTAGCGCCTCCTGCCTGCCTTGGGCCGGCCGGGCGCGGGCAGCCGCGCCGGGGGCTGCGGGCCGGGCCGGGGCTGCGGTGGGCCGTGCATGGCGGGACCCCTGCGGGCCGGCCGGAGCCGCGCCCCGCTCGCATGGGCGCCCGGCTCGCCGAGCCTGCCCCGCTGTCCGCGCTGTGACCGCGCTGTCCCCGCCGCTTCGGCCGCGCAGCGCGGCGCCGCTCCCCGCTATATAAAGCCGCCGATAAGCATCTCTCCCATCGCTCCGCGGCCTTTTTAGGAGGCTCGGGCTGTCAATCAGGGCACCCGCTGCTCCCCGCCAGCACCATTGTTACCCTGCGCCGCGCTGGGAGGATCCGCCGCTCCTTTCCCCTCCCTGCTCGCTATTTTAAGATACTGGGGTGTGTGGCCTTTATTTTTTTTTTCTTCTTCTTCTCCTCCTCCTCCTCTTCCCTAGATTGTAATTATCTAAAAAAGTTAAATGCGGGCTGCCGGAGGAGAGTGCTGCCCCGGCCCCCACAGCTTTCCCCGACCGGCGTCAAAACTATTCCCGAGCCGCAAAATGCTGGAGAGCGGCAGACGGGGAAAGTCCTGTTGAGAGGTGCCTTGCCTAGGAGCAGTGTGTAGCAGTTATTTTTCTCCGGAGCGGCGTTACTTGGACCCCACGTCTGAGATTATTTTCTGGCGGATCCCTGTTTGGTTCAGCTGGATTTTTGTAAAGCTGAGCTTTCAGCCCCTTCTGCTGAGGGGTGCTGAGGCTTCCTCACTGGAACTTTTCCTACCAGGCTGTGGGCTGAATTTTATTTCTCATCTCCGTGGCCTCCAGCAGGAATCGTCAGGACACCCTACTCATGGAAAGGTGTATCAGGAGGAATCCCCTGGATTAACTGTTTGCTGCAGGTTTTCCAGAACCCACAGCCAGGTCACTAACTTTAAATGGATAAATAGATGCTCATTATGGAGATTTACCACCCTCCAAAAATTATTACTCACAGGTTTCACACAAGGATTTAAATACAATCTACAAAAAGTTATCAGACATCCTTCGGTTCTCATGCTTTGGCAATCCAAATGGCAGCAAATGCTTATTTTAATAACAGACAACTCAATCTGTTTTTGCAAAAGGGAACAACCATTTCAAACTCTCATCAATGATTTGAACCACTTTTATTTTTTTAACTGTATTTTTTTTTAATCCTTCAAAACACTGTAAACTATCTTTAACCTCTTTTGTGAAAGCACTACTTTTTTCAATTCAAAATTTCATTTAACTTCAGCAATACAGTTGTTCATTTATAGAGACTCAAAATAAGATGCTTGCATTGTCCATACACTGACAAAACTGGAAGGCAGATGCAAAAATATATCAGATTTTCGATATATCCTTTAAATTTTTTTTCTTAAAACCTGATTACATTTTTTTAAATATAGCACAGCAAATTATATTGAAACGCATGTAAAGCAAAGTGTTTTGCTAATTTTGAACCATTGGGATGGCATTCTCATTTAAAATAGTTTGGAAATGCTTTTATTTCTTTTTATTTTGAGAAACCATAGTGATCTTATGATGAGGGATTTAACTAGATTTATAACAACTATGGAATTCAAGAAATTCTCTCCTCCATGACATTGTAACTCTTTCTAAAATACTTAAACTTGCTGCTTTAATTCCTAAACAAAGTACAGCCATTTAAGCAGATGGACTGATTTTGTTATGACTGTAGTTTTAGGAGGACTCACCTCTTCATTCAGACATAAAGCATTTCAGGAGCACATTTTCTTCGTCTTTTTCAGACACTTTTTTTTTCTTTTTTCTTTTTCTTTTAGGAAACTAAGTAATTACCAGCAACATTAGCTCCAGCAACATTAGCTTCAGCAATTAGTATTGCTGATAATTATTGCAAAGAATATTTTGGAGGCAATAGCAAGCAAGCCACTGATTTAAGCCCCAAAGAAGCAGCAAATGGCATTTTATTACTTACGTTACCTTGGGATTTGGCCAGGAGCTGCAGCCCACCCTACCCCCACTTCAAATTTATCCTGCTTTTCTTGCCTTTGAAAAACCTGACACAACACAGCAGAGGAATGTTTCCTGAAGAGTATTCCAGGAGCTTGACTAGATCCAACCCAGAAATCAAGAGGGGAAGCAAACCATGGGCTTTCTGAGCTCACGGGACAAGAGACTCTGCTTGTCTTTAAATGTTTCTTTCTCACATCTGAAGGGCTGAATATCCAGAGGTGTGTGGCTGGCACCTCTGTCCATACTCTAGAAATGTAATGTCCTCACCTGAGCCCAAGCATATGAACTGGCAGGCGGGATTAGCCCACACTAACACATCTCTAGAAACTTTATTTCTTTTTATTAATGTTTTTTTAAAAGTAAGTGGTCAGAGCAATACGGTGGGTTATGTCGGATGAAACACACACTGGCTGTCAATCAAAAAGGGGGTGCTTTGGTCAGGAATAATCAGGGGTTTTGTTTCCAAAATTAATGAAGTGGCTGGAATAGCGAACATCTGCCAAGGCGACTCAAACCCCGAGCAGCTGTTGGAGCCCCAGGACCCTTCCTATGTAGAACAGCCTTGCTGAGAAGTGCTTCTCCCTGAGCTTTCTCCTGTGGCTGAGAGCTGGAACAGAGGCTGGAAAGTGAAAGGCACATTCGGGAAGGTTTGGAGGGCAGGAGATCTGACACAGTCTGTGCCCCAGGCCGGCACCTGCACACCACGAACGGCTGCTGGGCAGCCAGGGACCAGGATTTCTTCTCTTTTTCAAGCAGGAATTAATCCAAGGGACACGAGCCTCCATTTTACTGACTAAAGAATTTCTGCAATCAGAATTGAGGAAAATAGAACTGCTGTAAGTCTGTCAGTCAGTAAAAATTTCTAAGGAAAAGCAGGGAGGTCAGCCCAGCACCAGAGAGCTGGAAATAGATTGTCCAGGAGGGCAGTTGTGTTCAGTCAGGAGAGATACGGCAGTACACTCTCTAAACTTGGGTTTCTGGAGACAAGTTGTTTTAATTTGGAGTCAATCTTTGCTACCAGGCCTTTTGTATGCAGTGCCAGAGCCCCACATGCATGGTGCACCTTGGGAAAATGATTAAGCACCTTTGAGTTGACTTGCTTAGTCCCAGCACAAACATTACCATGAGAGACAGTGATTAAGGGAAGAGGAATTAAGTTGCTGCTGTATTACTAAATTTGTGATTTAGGTAGTACCCAAGTGGCTCCACTTAGGGCAGAGTCAGCTGGTTGTGATCACTTTGCTGCTGCATTTGTATATTGCCGAGAACACTGGGATTGTTTGCCTGAAGAATTCTGTCTGTTGGATTTTCAGCTTCCAGTTTCCACAATAATTTAAAATGTAAACTTATTTTGACAGAATGGGCAGGATGAATAAAGTGCCAAAGTCTGAAAGTCTCTTGGCTCTTAGTCTGAATTCCTGTTTCTATATCAAAAGGGCAAAGACACCTTTCACAAGCCCCTGACATTACCATTTTTAATCACTAGAAAAATCCCCTTTCCAGTGAAATGCAACCACCTTTGAAAACAGATTTTTACAGACATAATCAGTCCTGCTAAACACCAACACTCTGATCTCAAGTGTATGCCTTTTTCAGCATGATATTGGGCTTGATACTTGATCCAGTATAGAAAAATCGAATGTGTGGCTAGAAAGAGGAAGGCACAATACGGGCCAGTGCTTCGCTCCAGGGAATCCAGAGGCTTTGTCCTCTCAGCGTGAAAGGTCTCAGTGCATAAAAATCCCTATGAGTAAAAGATCTCAGCATATGTCTCACATAAATAAAATGAGTTTCTAGTATCTGCCCCATGCCAGAGAAAAGGGCATTGCCCAGGAATTTATTTTTTTTTTTTAAGCCAGGGAGAGTGTAAAACATGCAACACATGCACATAGAAGGAAAACCCACCTGATCGGTGGCCAAGTGAGCCCCTCAGTCCTGTGCCTTCCCCTGACAGAAATGGTCAGTGAGAGAAAGACACCTGTGAGCATGGTCCCCTCCCTGCCTCCTGGAAAGCCTTGTAAAGGCAGAGAATGGAAAAGAAACTGAAGTGTTTGTTGACCCTAAACTTTACCTTGGTCCCTTTGCAGATGATAAGATGATACCTCTGAGCAGCCGAGGAAACAGAAATTGCAGAGCAGCAACTGCATAAGCTTACACACCCCCATCACCTCTGGGGGGGCTCTTTGCTCACAACTTATCTATACAACCAAATTTCACTCCTGGCCTAAGTGACTATGGTACATGACTGCTCCAAGCCCAGCAGTTTCATTAGAATTTTTTTTCAGTCCCCAAAGCTATGTAGCCCGTCTCAAATCCTCAATTACATTATTTTCCCTGTCACCTTAAATTGTCTGCCACTTCTTTGAGTGTCACCAGGCCTCACTCTGAGTCCAACTGATTCCTCTCCTACTCCCTATCCCCCCACTGTGATGCTGCAGCATTTGTGTGGTTCCAAACCATTCCTGGCTCCAGTTTTGTCCCTTAATGGGCAGCCCTGTGCTTAGGGCAGCAACATTACAAAGGTGTCCTTGACATGCTCAGAATAAACCAAAGCTTGAGTTACTTTCTTCAATAAAATTATACTGAAAGCTGAACTATCAATTGGGACACCTTTGTTTTATTTCCTGCTCTGCCTCAAGCCCTAAACCTAATCTCCCTTGCCTAGAGCCAACTTTGAATCACCTAGAAATAGAGTATAAGGTATTCATCATGTGACTGGAGCCACTGGCCAGTCCCCAAATTAGTTAAGATGCTCTGATTTAAAGTAATAGTACAGCTAATAACCATTTTTATCAGTGCTGATAGCAGGCTCAGAACACACAAGCCATAAAGTTCATGACACATTCACAAAACCTCTTAAAAAGGAGACCTATATATGGTCTCAGATTTACATGCAGAGAAACTGAGGCAAAGTTTCGCTCTGTTAATGCTTGGGACAGAAGCCAGCTCTCACTCACCATCATGTCCTATCCAGGCAGAGCAGAATCTAAATCCCAGAATTTTTCTCTGTGACCTCATTTTTTTCCCCCATAGCACACTGGGGGCTGTGAGGGAGTGTGCTAATTTTTTTCCAGTTACCTCTTTGCAGGACACACAACACCTGAGCAACTTCTCCTTCCCTACCTGTTGCTACCAAAACCCTGCAACCAGACTCTGGCACTGGAGTTGGAGTATTTCCATAAGCTCCCAGGGAACTGCTGTGCCACTACACAGGGCACCAAGGAACTAAACCAGAAGGAGTAAGTCACTATGAATCCTGAGACAGACCCACTGGCAGAACAGAAGGCATCTAGAGAGGTATTTATGGGGTGGCTCTGATTTTCTGGGAGTTGGACAGATACCACGTACACCAGAGGCTATGCCAAGGAACAGAGCCCATCTTTCAGCAAGTGGGATTTGTTTTTCCAGGCTATAGCTAAGAGGTTACATTCTGGATTTATAAACTAGGGCTAAGAAGTTTGGGAGTGGCAACCAGGAATGCAAAGGAACATTCTGTGCCACCTGAGGGTCCAGTTTGGGCAAGGCAGAAACACCTGGTCCCCTACTTGTCACCCCAAATATTCATGGGACAATAAACAGTGTTTTTCCCCTTTCTCCAATTAATTCCACAATCCACCCTTAAAGGGAAGGAAGCACCCAACCATCATTCTCCTCCTACCCATATTGCTGTCCTCTCTGGGATGCCAGTGAAAACAGAGACAACTATTTTAATATGGCCAAGGTAACAACAATCTCATTTAACTCATTTTTCTAGAGCGACTGGAGCCAATTGTGAAGGGAAGTACCTAATCTCATGAGAATGAGTGTTTTAAATTGGAACATCTTTCAAAAGACACCCCCAATTTTTTGGCAGGGAAGGCTTCCCAAATCTAACACTACTTCACTCTTTAATTCATGCTCCAGACTCATTTGGATGAGGATCCACATGTGAATACTTCATCCAGCTTTGCCTAAGGCAAATTATTTTTGCACAAGTCTTGCTAAATCTCTGCCAAGCTGGTAGTGTGTCAAAAAGGAAAAAATAAAAATATTTGCAACTCCTTCTATAAAACAGCCAGGATGTTTTGGTGTTCTGTGACTGATGCTTTATTCATTATTCAGAGGATTATCTCTGCTTTCTTTTTTTCCACATGACAATTTACCTGAAATCAGCAAAGAAAAGATCCACAACCAATTGATCAGAAGAATGTCTCCAATCTCCATAGAGACACCAGGAAAACACCAGGATCATGTGAGTTGTACACAAGAAACCTATTCATACTGGAATGGGTGTTCCAGGACGTTAAGTAATTTTGGCAATCTGCCACTATCTCAGCCTGCAAGAAGCCCGAAGGGAGTTATTGATGCCATCAAGTTCTGATCTTTATTAATGGTTTCTAGACAGCCTTCATCATTCTGGGCTCTGCAGAACCCCAGTCCAGACCTGCAGATAGATCTTTGTACAGTCATCCAAGAGAAACCAGGACCCCCATTTCCAGAGAGCTCAGGGGCTGAGTGTCCTACAGGAACTGCTCAAGCCTCCCCTCCTGACAGGATGCAGAGGGCCAGGAGCTGCCAGCCAGAAGCCCAGTTATCCCAGTATGCTGGAACAGCCCAGGACTTGCTCTTCACTTACCAGGTGCTGCGCTGCTGCAGTTCACTGTAGATAAACTTGTACTTAATACAAGGACAAACAAGGAGACACAGGGGCTCTGGGACTCAATAAATAACAGAGCATACCAAAATTAACTGTAGCATTCCTGCATCCACAGGTAAGGCCAGGATTTTCATTGCCTAATGCTAAGGGAAAGACAGAGATGAAGAGCCTGATCATGCCTATAAATAGATTAATTCCTTCTAAACAAGCTACAGTGAGAAGTCCTTTCCAGAGATACCAGCCAAATTTACCCTCCTGAGGAGCAGGCAGAGGACTGACTGTGTGTGTGGAAGTGAGCCAAGACAGGGTTTGGGGCTTGAAACACAGAGGACTGTCTCTCCTATTTAATGTGCCTAGTTTGGCTCCCTATGATGCTCTGTGTCATTCCTCGACCTTCCACAAAGTCATAGAATCCTTACCTGTGTAAGAGCTCAGGAATCAATTTCATCACCAGAGCTGGAGAACTGTGCCATTCCCAGAAGGATTTGTTGCCTGGGTTGCTGCAGTTGGGTATTTCAACATATTTCAACATCCAGGGGTTTGGGAATGCTGCAGAGGACACTGCATTGACAATGGGGCTGCCTGCAGAGAACTCAGTGTCTTCAGCCCCAGCTCAGAACACTGAAACCTTCAGTGCAGCCCTGGACTAAAAGGTTTGAACCTGAAGAGCAACCTGGCTGTACCAGTACTATTCTAGAAGCAAATCTGTCACACTTGAGATTGCTAAACAGCACTGAGGCACCTGCAGGATCTGCAATCCATCAGGTTTTGCTACTGCTTAGCTCCAGGCTCTGCCTCACTTCCCTTCCCTACAATGCAGACAGAGATTTTTGGGTAATTGTAGCTCCATGCAGAGACAGGCCCTTACCCCAGCCTTGGGATCAGACAAACCAGCCACTGAGGAACAGGGAGGAATCAGCTCTAATTCCACTGCCATTCCCTATAATTAGGATGTTCAAATACATGTAGCTGTTAAGACCCTGGTGCCAATAGTTAATCCCCAGAGCTTTCAATGTGTAATCAGTGCAAGGGGGAAGTTGGACATCAAACAACTGGTATATGTGCCCAGTGTGTCCAATCCCCTTATTTAAGAAGCACCCCCAAGTCCCTTAACACAGTTGTCCCATTTTTCTGCCCATAGTCTCAGCTTTACGCTTGATCCTGAGCTGTTTTTCTTCTCATTATTACTTATTTCCTTGCCTGCTTTCCCCAGTCCTTTTCCAATGGCATTCTGAAAGACTTTAATCCTTACTGCCATGGATCTTACAGCTGCTGGGAGCCTTGGGGCTGTCTCAGCTGATAACTGGGCAGTGTCTTTCACTCAGGGCTTAACCCAGACTGCACAGATCCTCGTCGTGTCTGCTTGCAAGGCAGAATTGTTCTCATTTGCCTTCCACCCATTTCCAAGTGTTCCCAGGGTAGATAAAGTTCCACTCTCCTGCTGGAGGAAACAGCAGCAATTGCAGAGTATCTTTAACACAGAAAATAAAGGTCTCTAGACTCAGCCTGAAAGCTTGTTCCTGCTCCCTGTCTGCCATCATTCTGCCACTAACATTTCTTTATATTCCAGAGATGCTCCTACTTAACTGCACTAATATTTTACATTTAAATTCTTCATGGCTTAGCTCCATTTTATGCTTTTATTTTGGGGCAACATCTTCCTTCCCCAGTCAGGACTTCATGTTCTGCTGTGAAATCTTCCAGCTATAGGGAAGAGAAGAAAAAAAGATAAATAAACAGAAGGAAGTTCATCTTCCCCTTTTCATAAGATGTCCAAGTCCTTGCACTTCCATCTGCAAGCAGTAACAAGGGATCATTGCGCCAAGTGCCTTCTGCACTGTAAGAAGGGGACAGGACAGTCTAAGAGAGCTCCAATAGTTATGATTGCCAGTTATATTATGTTAATAGCACAATGTTAATCTCAGCACTTGAAAACAATGTGATTTAACTGTTAAAATAGGCAAGGTTAATGTTAAACAAGTTTATATAGGCTATAGTTACACAATGTTGGCCCAGAAGGATGCCATGAAGAAAAAAAAGGACTGAGCTCTGATAGTAACGGCATATTATTATAGATCATTCTTTATTATACAGAGTTTTTTTTCCCCCTGAATTCTAAATTTCCCATTAATGTATTTCTTAGCTCTGAAAAAAGAATGTTCTGAGACGCAGTTTCTGAAGTCTTTCCAGCTCACACAAAATTTTATTTTCATCAGCTATGGATCCCTGGTGTAGGCAGGAAATCTCCTTATAAGCTACAGGTGCCGGGGAGCACTTGGAGACTCCTTAGTCTTAATCTGTTTCTGTGTCCTATTCTATGCTTTCTGTATTAAAGAAAATCATGGTTTACCACAGCTGTAGCTCTAAGTCTAAAAGAATATTAATGTAGAAGCATTAAAGTAGGTATGTACATTAACACATGGAACAAAGGTCAAGGCTTATGGAAAGTTTCCTATTAAGAGAGCATAAAGAAATTATTCAGCTGCAGCTAGAGAATAAATCAAAATACACAATTTTTCATAGTAAATCATGTTTCTTTTCAACTTATTACTACTCCTTCATGGCCTGATAGTGATTAATAGTAATAAAGTAATTGCAGTGAGATGTTTCTGCAGACCTGAGTGTGAAAACCCCCATTCTTCCAGAATATTGGGATTGTGAACAGGATCCAGTTTAACAGATGATTCCTGTTCCATTGCCTGCAATAGGATTTTACTGATAGAGGATAAAGATATATCTTGTGATCCAGATAAGGCAAAGCTTGAGAATAATCACCTGCTAATTAGGTCTCCATGGTCCAGGTGTTTTCTTGGTTGAATAAGTAACTGGCTAACAATTAAGACCTGCATCCTTGAGAAAAGTTGCTCCTTTCAACTTAGAGTGATTTTTAATTTATTTTTAAAATATCTATACTAAATGATAATACTATGACATCTTCATTCAGGCAAAGAATGGTGACTGGGGTTGTACTGGTAAGCCACAACTGATTGCTGGGAAGGCAAAGAGCAGGTTAAAGAGTTTCCTGTCCCTAATTGTTCTCAGCAGAACTGGTATGGCCACATTGCTCCAAGATGCTCCTGTGTGTAGGAGCACAAAAAACTCTGCCATGTCCCAAAGGGCTCTCTGGGTCTGAGGCACCACTTCAGTCAGAGAGACTTTGTTCTCCTCTTGCCTAGTTGTCACTCTGCACACACAGGTAACAGGAGATGTGCTGCCTGGCCCGTGGGCTGGGATAAGTGGGGCTGGTTCTGTTTGGTTCCACAGGGCTTGGCCAGCTGATACTGGGAGGTACAGCTCTCCTGGGCAAAGGTTCTCATGGGCAGCTGCTGCTTTCTGACCCCTCTGCAGGGATTTCTGAGGTTGATGTGCATCCAAGCAGGAGCAGAATGGGTAAGTGTTCCTGGGCTGGTGGTTGTGAATGTTACCCCTTTGTGTGTCATAAACAAACACTTTCAACTCTAAAATGAGCGTGCAAATAGAAGAGGATGACAATCACAGACTCACAGAATAGTTTGGGTTGGAAGGGGCCTTAAAGCTCACCTTGTTCCAGCCCCTGCCCTTGGCATGGTACCTTCCAGTGCTACCAAACACCAAACTGATCAGGAGTCCTGTACTCCTTGTGACCTTTTCACATCACACAGCAAACATGGAGAACAGCTTGCAGGTCACAGTGACAGTAATCTATAGTCCCTAACAGGCTGCTGTGGAATCCCCAGAGCATTGTTCCCCACTGGGTATGGAGTCACTGTATTAGTAGGGGAAGGTCAGCAAAGCTTCATCAGTTTATCAATACAATTATCAAGTCCCCATTTTGGGAGCATGCTCCCATAGGGGAGTGGCTGCTGACAGCCTGTCTGAGGCACTAATGACCCGGTCATCAACTGCAGAGTTTGAGAAGTCTGTTTGTCCAACTCAGGGCCCTGTGTGCCGTGGAATAGACAGCAGCATAGGAACCCAGATGCTGTCTGGAGAGGCAAGAAAACAACTGTGCCTTTGGTGTGCTTCAGATGCCATCCAAGCCATGTTCAAACACCCAGATGGGGCTGCCTTTGCAAGTGTTAGGTCACAGACACGTGGGTTATTCATGTTAAAAGACAGGCAACACTACTACTCTTCCATAAAAGTCCACCAGACAGACACTTTAACCCCTGTAATCCCTTCCTGTGGTGCATGTGACGCCACATAGATTTATTAATTAAATCCTGTTATCTGGTGGCCGCTGTCAATTAAGTGTTTCCTTGTAACGTCCATAATGAGGGCTCATTCATTAGCAAATGTTTCCATTACATTTAAGGCTGTGAGTCTCTCTGAGCACTTCTCTTCCCCAAAAAGAGGTACAGAATTGGCTGTGGTTTGAGATTCTGGGTGAAGGGAGGGGAGAGAGAAGTAAAAAACAGGAGGGACAGATAATGGATCTGTTGCTAAACTGAACAATTAAGACATTTAATTGCTGTGCCATGGGAAGGCACAGTGCTGTCTGCAAAGAACTCTGTTTCAGGAGGTGGATGCAATTCTTGCTGTGCCACTTGCCACTTGCACTGTGACCCCAGGAAAGTTGCAGCACACCTTTTTTGTTGCTGTTCTCTGGTTTGACAGCTCTCTGGAAAATTCGGTATACAGTTGAAAAGGAACAACTTCACATGCAGGGTCTGCATCTTGATCAATGCCTCTGGAATGGGCTCTCACTGAATAATATGACCCAATAATTCATTGTAAAATGTGCTGACACTCTGCTAAAAGTACCAGATCCGTGAGTTCTGTTACTAGAAATAGTCACAGCTCTGCCTGACAAACTCTGACTGCTGAGAAACTAAAGTACCAAAAGACTGAACAAATAAAGCTTTCAGGCAGTATCTGTAATAATAAAATCTTCACGATTTTAAATGAGTACTAAAAGTCCCTTCAGACCTGATATGATGTCTAGATCACTGGATTTTGGTAAAATGGATCTAACAGAATAATGAATCCCTTCAGAATGTCAGACAGAATTCTTTCCAGCAGCTGCCTCGAGAGAAAGAGGGAAAGGACTAACTGAATCCAAGGCTTTTAAGTGCATTCCTGCCAGTTGCGCTGGAGCAGCTGCTGGGAGATGGAGCGTCAGTTCCACCTTCTGGCAAAATTTGCAGCTGCAGGTCTTTTTTAAAAATGGGATTTAAATTAAATATATATATATTCAATTAATCCAAAACTGTGTTAGGGCTCATTCTGAATAAAGCTCAAAGGTAAATATGTTAGGCAAATCACAAAGTCTGCATGTCAGGAAAAAAGTAATTAAAGCATGTAGGGAGGTAATGACAAATAGTCAAAGAAATTATTCTCAGCCGGTAACTTGTTGGCTGATTTAGCCCTCAGAACTACATTTTTATTGCTGCAGTGTTATTAGGTCTTTGTACAGTGATCTCAAGACTTTAAATTAATTACATTGGCAAAAGGAAGGAAAACCTCTTGTAAAGATTCATTAGCTGCCAGAGAGCCTGGAAAAAGATGGGAATGGAAATTTGGCTGTCAGGCTGAGAAGGTCCAGTGTGGTGTCCGTGTGCTGTTGGAGTGCTGCACAATGGTGCTAGATGCCAGCACTGGAGAGTGGAGTCAGCAGACAATCCTGAGAGAATCCCACAGCAAAGATTCGAGTCAGATGTTCCCCTTCTCCCAGGTCCTTTGCAGTCAGACTGAGGGAGCTGTTACTGTGGAACACATGGAAAAGGCAACCTTATCAAATCAAAATCACTGGGAAAAAGAGACAGTGCCATCTGGCTCCTCTGGAGAGAGCTGGAGACCATGCTGGCACTACCTCAGGCAGGCTGTGCACTCATCCTTCCCCACACATTCCTGGGACATTTCTAATCATAACTGTGAATGGCATCCCACAGGGCCTTTCTGGGATCGGGTTCCCCTCTACAAGTGTCCAATCCTGTGTTTGGAGGCAGCAGAGCTCCAACTGATATCCATTGAAACATAGCCTGCCTCACTGCCATCAGAACTATTTCATGGAGGGCCCATTTATAAAGCTCTTAATAGAACATAATTTAGACTTTCAGAGTATCATCATATCTATTCAAAGCTGCAATCTTTTAGGAATTCAGCAAAAGACAGGAAAGGATAAAATGACATATTCCTTGTCCTGTCTTCCGGATTGTTCTAGTGTAACAAGTGTATATAATCAATTTTGGAGAGAAAAAAGCAGCATTATTTTTAAGAAGCCCACTTTATTTTTATGTCTTTTTAGTGTTGGTGTGTTCACACAATTCAGCCTGGATTGAAGCGATAACGACTAACTCAGCACATGGCCCTGTCTGCTCAGTTTATTATCGTGCATTCCTATCTGATTATCTAATCTAAGGACCCATCACCAAAATATTTAAGTGCTGCCACAGGATCTAATTACTAATCTTAAGGAAGAAACACTGGCTTTGCTGCAGATTTGGAATAAACCCCCCCTTTAAATCTTTCTGAAGGTTGAAAAGCAAATGTGTATAAAACATAAAACTGCCTTTCCTTGTACATGTCTGGGAACACTGGATGCAGGATGCAACATAAAACTATTGTTCTATCAGAAACCAAGGTGTTGTTTCACACTGCATGAGACCATGAGTCATTAAAACTGAGCCGCATCACAGCCAAGGAATGGTTTACATTGGCCTGTGTTCTTCATCACTCTCTTTATAGACTGGCTTTTCTTCAAGCTTGTTTCCACAGCCTTTGAGTGCCCTACAAGTAGTTGTGGATTCATTCTCCAACACTCACAGATCAGGCAACTTTTTTTTTTTTTTTTTTTTTTAAAAACATGTGGGGAATTGGAGACAAAGATGAAGGATGAGATTTGTCCAGGGAAATAAAAATAACTGTGATTTTCATGGCAGCATTCCAAGTGTAACCAGATGTCTTGTGTCATAGTCTTTCCCTGCAGGAGCTCTGCTCATCTAAATAGAGCATTTCCC